TAGGCAAGCAAACAGTTTTGTTTTTAATACGTCCTAGCACCACATATTAGAGTCTTTTAACTTCAGACTTTAACGAATAAATTAATATATCTCTTCCGGTTATTTTGGAGGTAAGTTTTAAAAGAAAAAGGGGCAGCGTTTTCTTCTTTGAGTAAAATTGTGTTAGCTGCATTTCAATGATACGGTTGAAATACCTTACTTTTCCGAAAGTCCTATCGGTTATTGTGGTTTTTTACCTGACAATTCACAGTTGTTTGAATAAAAAAATCTGGCAACGTCGGTCTCGACCCAAACCGACGAAAGGTCTTAGTACCAAATAAGAAGAAGAAAATAAAGCTCAACTCAATTGTGCCGAAGCTGGCAAAGTCCTCACACAAAAATTCCGAAAGCACGTTTTTCGAGTTTTAAATGGATTCTGCTATAGAAATAGGTACACGGAGCTGCGTCCGGCGATCAGAAGGCCAACAATTAAATTGTCCGAACGTACTCCCGTAAAAATATGTCAGTGTTCCATTCAAAGGACCTTAGAACGCTTAACATTTTTTGTATTTGTTCGGGCGCCAAAAGTCACGCCTTCCTCCACTTATCTGTCACAGATGTGCGAGTACCTAGTCTTTTTTCGCCAGGCTTAAAAAAATTATTATTTTCATTGATTGCCGAAACAGTGCTCTGAAATCAAAGTGGGTGACATAAAGTAAAAACTTAAATGGGCTGCCCTTAGAGAAGGATTCTATTTCTTCTTCACTACTCACTACTTAGATTTAAATCCTTAAGATTCTCTCTGGCATTCGCTGACAAGGCTATGCGGATGACATAGTGATTATTGCCAGAGGGGAGTTTCAGAACAACCTTTAAGACATTACTCAACGGGGGATCAAGATTAACTAAAAGCTAGTGTTTAAAATTAAAGCTTAGTGATAATCCAGCTAACACTGTCATATTTCCATTCCCTGAACAGCATCAGCAAACTGAAATATCTGGGACTAACAACAACGACTGGCATGTGTATACATAGCAGGAGCAACGCGCATAAGTCTGACGATGCCGCTTAAGCCTCTTCATATAACCATAGAGCAGGCCGCTAAATGAACTTTTCTAACTAAACTTTTCTAGACATGGGTTTGGAAAAAGAATGATCTTACATATCCTCTAAAAACATGGAGAAGCTAGGGTTTTCTACCCATTTGGCACTTACTCCTAGGTACGACTTAAGCAGCATCGTAGTCTTTGAGAAGATTTTTAACTATGCAGCAAAAGAAACCTGGAGAGTAGAAAATTAAATCATTATTGGTCCTTGACTGAACTATACAACTTTACTGGAAGTCTCAACAACATGCAGTTAACATGGGTAGCAGGCCACAAGCGAATAGAGGGTATTAAGAAAGCAGAGCTGTTCCGGGACGAAGCTACCAAAATTATTAAAAAGGAGTTCAAGCATTATATTTCTCTCTCTCTATATATCTATCTCTGGCTCTCTATCTATCTCTCTCCCTCTCTCTCTCTCTGCATATGTCAAAAGAACACCACAATCCGAAACGCACTTCTGTTAAGCATCCCTTCTAGATCAGGCGAGACTATAGAAATTGAGATACCTACCTGTATTTTACACTACTACACTAACACTTTCATATTCGAGCGTAGAGTTACAGATAAAATTTTTCCATTCCCAGCGAGTAAGGACATTCGCTAATGTGCTATATTTCCGAATTGGCACAAAGTTGTTGTCCGTTATCAAAGTTTATCTTATCAAAAGGCGCTTATTTTCTGCTTAGATTCATATTTTTCCACTCAAGTCCTTTAAATGAGTTCAAAAATGTAGTCACTTTTTTTCGAAAATTATCGAGAAAATATTTGGTCATTTCTGCCATAAAATCAAAAACCTTTAACCCATGAACTATTGATTATACAAATTAATTTTGCTTTTAATAATGACAACCAATCAGTGAAAATTAGTCCGAGTTAATTTTGCACATTTCCAGCAGAAACAAAACCAAATTTATCATTTATATTAATTAATTGTACTCTTTGCCATTTTATGCAAATTCATAAAAGCCATAAAATCCCTGACACCAATGCAGTGTCGATAATTAAGCAATGAAAGAAAAATACAAAGTTCAAACCTACATTTTTTGCGACAGATTTTTTTTTTTATATATACATATTTTATTTATGTAGGCATGTATATATGTACATACATATGCATATAAGCATAAGCATTTTACAAGTTACTTGTTTTTACAGATATACATATGTATGTGCATTTCATAACTTTTCCAAGAAGAACACGAAATGAGTAATTCTATTTGATTGCAACAATCACTGTCCATTTTTCGACGACTGACACTGATTACAAGATGGTCGGCTGCCGTGTCTAATTACCTTTGGGTAGAACGTATGCTAAAGAAAACCGGACGGGCGACATGTTAACTTTACTTGCTACATATGTAGTATTAACAACAAAAATTATGCAAAAAGATTTTAACTGACATTGTTCAAAAGATCATTCACTGTGCGTGCAATATTTGTAACTTCAAAAAAAAAAAAAAAACAGCAAACCGAATTGCATGCAAACATATGAAAAACTATGGCAACATTTATATGTACATATAAAAGGCATAAGTAGCATTACGAGATGTACTTACTAGTACTAACTAAAAGAAAAAAAAAATTGCATTGCATTTATTGTGCAATTATTTTAAAAACATTTTTCATTACTTATACGCTATGACACTAAGTAGTAGTTGGATGGAAACTTTAATATAAAAGAAGTAATATAGGGCCCAAGGTTGGATACGACCAATGATACATATATGAATTTATATATGATTGTAGTACATATATGCGTATATATATATATACATACTTACATATATTTCCAAAAAAAAAAATAGTTACAGAACCGAACGATTGTATGCCTATCAACGTTTTTGTCATCTGACCAACTAAGATTGGGTGTGGTTAAATACTTTATTTTAGTACATATATAAAAATATCGCATTTTTTAGTCAGTGTGGACTGAAAAACTTTGAGTCTTTATGAAAACTCTAAAAGTGTGTGTGGCAACTAAGAATGCTATTATTTTTAAATATCACTTTATAATTTTGCTCTTAACTAGTGTGCCCTAATAATAAGTAATCATAGTTAATTCAACACCAATATTTTTTCACAAACAAAATTGTTAATTATAATGTACAATTTTCATAAAGATATTTAGTAAGACGATAGAACATTGCATTTTTTTTTGTAATTCTTACATACTTGCTCAATTAAGTCTGTGAGGCCTAACAAGATAACAGAACAAACATATCTATGATGTAAGTATTTCAATGTCCTTGCCACGCAAACTACTTAAATCATTGGGGTTAATCGATTTCCGACGCTGCGGCGCTGAGGCGTAGCCACAATCACAACAACAAAAACAATAATAATCTATGCTCTTATAAAGCGTTGTGTAACCTTCACCTTTGATTCCACTTACATTGTTGTATGGTTTAAATCAGAGATTCCCAAAGTGGTCCAGGTGGACCATTAGGGGTCCACGGGAGACTCGACGAGGGTCTACGTTGGCGTGAAAAAAATATGGGGGTCCATGATAGCCTTTTTATTTAACTTTAATTTTTTTGAGTGGTGTATAGTGCTCTTGACGCACTGCTGCACTTACCGTCACTTTGTGTTTTCATACGTGGGAAAGCCTGAAAGGCCACCGGCAGAATAAAATGGGCCGGATGTTGGCCTAACACTGGGTGGGGTGCGGTGGAAATTGCTGGCGGCAGAGATTTAAGTACTTGTGTATTTTCAATGCTACAGGATAGTACGCCACCATTACCTTTATTGAAGAGATTCTATAATGTTGAGTTCCCTGAGATTAAATACTGGTTTAATTCCAGCACTGAGACCGGACTCACACATTGTCGAATCTTCGCTGATGGCTGCAAAACTGACTCTGGGTCATGATCTGGAGTCTTTTTCGAAGTTAATGGGGATAAGCTTCAATTTTCTGTTGTTGAATATGCTTCGGTCTTCCGGACTAAGGTAATTGCAATCCTCAAAGCCATGGACTACGTGCAGTCTGCAGTGACAACCAAGCTGCACTTACGACATTGACCAGCGCCTTAACTACTTCCTACTACTACTACTTACTAGTTCGGCAATGCAAGTCTCAACTTAGTTATGTTGATAAACATAACGAGCTTGCTTTACTTTGGGTGCCCGGTCACTCAGGAGTAGCTGGTAATGAGGCATCTGACACCAGTTTTGGTACACCCACTTTCGGCCATCGAAGCAACCATCAGAAACTGGGTGAATACTTCGCTCAGAAATGAGTGGGAGGCATCGAGGGGATGCAGGTGGGCAAAACTCATGTTGCCTTCCATC